TGCTAGTAGATGTAGCTAAATGTGCTAGTAGATGTAGCTAAATGTGCTAGTAGATGTAGCTAAATATGTTAGTAGATGTAGCTAAACATGCTAGATGTAATTAAATATAGTAAATGGACTGTACTTATACAGCTCCTTTCTATCTTATTTCAAGATACCCAAAGCTCTTTACAACAATCTGTGTCTCATTGACCCGTTCATACAGCTCTATACTAGATCTGTACAAAGCTAATTGAACAAATCATTCTAAAGAGACTAATCAGAGCTTTATCACATTCATACACTGATGGGACACATATCAGAGGCAATGAGGGGTTCAGTGTCTTACCCAGGGACACTTCAACATGTGACTGCTGGTGGATTCGAACCCCCAACTCTCACATTGGAGGACAACTGCTCTAACCATGCAGCCACAGCCGTGCTATGCTAATAGATGTAGCTAAATATGCTAGTAGATGTAATCTGCAGCCACTTTTTCAGCTCATCCTCCATCCCTCGACCTCAGCAGGCAGCTGGTGTTCCTACATGTTTAAATTAAATCCACAACGCTCAGAGGAACTACTACTCGTACTGTTCACACAGAAACAAACACCGGTTCCGGTCCATGCCAGAAGTCGCACCCATAATTCATGCAAGATGGCATAAGACAGGGCGACTGTGGCTGAGTGGTTAGAGCAGTCGTCCTCCAATGCAAGAGTTGAGGGTTCAATTCCACCAGCGCTCACATGTCCAAGTGTCCCTGAGCAAGACACTGAACCCCTCGTTGCCTCTGATGTGTGTCCCTTCAGTGTATGAATGTGATAAAGCTCTGATTAGTCTCTTTAGAATGAGTTGTTCTATTATCTTTGTACAGATCTAGTATAGAGCTGTATGAATGGGTCAGTGAGGCACAGATTGTTGAAAAGAGCTTTGAGGATCTTGATCAGATAGAAAGGAGCTGTATAAGTACAGTCCGTTTACCATTTACAGCATGGGGACGAGGAATAAAGTGGATAAGGTGACTCCTTTCTTACCAGCCTGTCATCTGTAACACATCCACTGGGTTTCTTAGTTTCAAAGTCTAGGTTCAGGAAGAGCCCAACACTATACTGGATACTACTGACCACATATACACATTTTAAAGGTGAGAAAACAAAACTATTTAAATCAGGAGCAAAAACAAATAAATACACACATTGGTTATGCAAACAAATCTGAAAGAAAAAAAACTTTGTTATAAGGCCTTTCAGGTTCAGAAGAAAAAAACCAAAGATGTTCAAAAGTTAGAATTTATAACTTTGCATCAGGTCCATAATTCAGAGTCCACAGTTCCTACCAACTCAACAGGCAAGGTAGTTCTTCATAAAAAGGTTCTTGTGTCAAGGGTAGCTCACCATCAGAGATTCCACAGGAATATGAAATCATCCAAAAATATTCTGACCTTGGTTTTCAAAGTATAGATGGGTCCAAAGCTTGTGTTCTGGTGGGCATCGGGCGTGGTTGGTAGTGCTGAGCTTACAGATTTAGCTTTATAACGCTGATTGTGTGTAGAAAGGATTGAAAGTCCAAAAAGCCTTTCAAACAGGTCTCTCAGTCTGACAGAGGAAGTGAGGAAACAGGAAGTGACATGACTTGCTGTCACTCTTTATATACACTCCCATAGAGCAACAACGTGCAATTTGGTAACCAGGTGCAGCTGCTGAACCATGGATTACACATCACTTC